TGGTTTTTTTGCTAGACAAAGAGATGCAATATAAATAATTTTGTTTTCAAATAAGGTCTTCTTCTTTTTTTGCGTTTAATTTGAAGGGTTGGGTAGTAGAGCAAGAGCATTTTTCACTTGAGTATCAGTTGTGTTTTGAAAGCGAACTTGGAATATGGTCGAAAACGAAAAACATTTAGGCGGTCGGCAATAAAGTTATTAATTAAAGTCAAAAAGAAAAAACTATATAATTACTTATAGTTTTCAAGTGTTTGTTAAAAACAACAATATAAAATTATTGTTATTGTTTTGCTATTATTAAAGGAAAAATTATAATTTATTAGTAATTAATAAAGAAAAGTAAATAAAAAAAATAATGGAATGGACTTGGTTGAGAGATTGGTGGCGTTTAAAAAAGTATCGTTCTGAACATCGCAGGCGGAAATTAAAACATTTATCACACCTCAATAACAGCGATAGCAATGATGATGATAATCCTACATCAACAAGTCATCATTATCACCACCATCAACATCATCACCATGGCTGTCATGCTAATAATAAAAATCAAAGTTGTAGTGATTTTGATGAAGATGATATTGAAAAATTTATAAGTGATGATGATGAGCACCAACAGAAACGTATTAGACGTCATCGAAGACGTCTTAAACTCAAACGTCTGACAACAATTGAAAGTGAGAATAATGAAAATACCAACGATGACACCGATAAATGCAAACCTAATAATGAAGTAGTAGGAGGCGGTGCTGATGGTGGTATTGATGCTGATAATAGTGATAAACATGTTAATAATGATCATGACCGAAACGATAATGATAACGATGACTACTACGACGATGACGATGATGAAGTCGATGACTTTTGTTTTTGTGATGAATGTTTAAATGTGGGTTTGTTTTTATCAAAGTATTTTTATAAACACTTTTTTTATTCTGAGTCGTCTATATATAATTTGTAATTATTTTGCTATGATGGCAATTGTTTTGTCTATTTATTCTTAACATTGACATTTTCCGTTCTTTTGTCAATATTTCGCATCTAGTCTATAATATAATTTGTAATTGAGCAAAAATTAAAAAAAGAAACGTATTAGGTATTTGGTTTTAATTTTATTTCGTTGTTGTTTGAATACATTTTCATAGAGTATTTTTTCATTTAGAGCTTCATAATCATTTAAAATTATTTAAACGTATTTGCCGCCAACAAAAATTTTAATTACTCGTATAAATAGATGCAAGTGTTACATTATAAATTTTTAATTTTTTGCGTATATTGTAGATGTATTAATATTTTATAATAGCCTTTAAAATAAATGTTAAATTGTTAAATATACTATAAACGTATCAAAAATTTCCTTTTGGGGAATTTCTAAAAAAAAACTAAATTATCTTTTTTGTTATTTTGCTTAATTTGTTTATATTTGTTTAATGATAAGAAAACTTCCTATACAGGGTCATAAATCTTGTTAAAATTGCCACAAACAAATGATTTAAATATTGTTAAGGTGTTAATTGTTCTAATTTTGATTTATCGTTTGTCAAAATTATGATAAATTATTAATATCGTTGTTTATTGCTGTCCTTATTGTAAAGATTAATGGTGATATTGAAGAGTAGTTATTTAAAAAATAGTAATTTGTTTATTTTTTCGCTTATTTACTTTATGATAAAAACAGTTTAATAAATCTTTAAATAATTTTTTATCTTTGACACACTCTTACTAAAGTTTTGTTGGTAAATAACCATTTCTAGTTTTTTTTTTTTTTTTCTAAAAACAGGAATGTTAAATTAAATAAATAAAAGTGTTAAATATATACAGCACAGTCATTGCACTTTAAAAACATTGGAAATTAATTAACATAGAAATTTAAATATGTCTGAGAAAACAAGTTTTTTTGTTATTCATATTTTTGGTAAAGAAATTTGTTTTTAGGGGAAGTTGAAAGGAGAAACATAATCCTAGTTCAGTTCCAGTTCAGTTCAGTTCTAGTTCAGTTCTAGTTCAGTTCTAGTTCAGTTCTAGTTCAGTTCTAGTTCAGTTCTAGTTCAGTTCTAGTTCAGTTCTAGTTCAGTTCTAGTTCAGTTCTAGTTCAGTTCTAGTTCAGTTCTAGTTCAGTTCTAGTTCAGTTCTAGTTCAGTTCTAGTTCAGTTCTAGTTCAGTTCTAGTTCAGTTCTAGTTCAGTTCTAGTTCAGTTCTAGTTCAGTTCTAGTTCAGTTCTAGTTCAGTTCTAGTTCAGTTCTAGTTCAGTTCTAGTTCAGTGTTCTAGTTCAGTTCTAGTTCAGTTCTAGTTCAGTTCTAGTTCAGTTCTAGTTCAGTTCTAGTTCAGTTCTAGTTCAGTTCTAGTTCAGTTCTAGTTCAGTTCTAGTTCAGTTCTAGTTCAGTTCTAGTTCAGTTCTAGTTCAGTTCTAGTTCAGTTCTAGTTCAGTTCTAGTTCAGTTCAGTTCTAGTTCAGTTCTAGTTCAGTTCTAGTTCAGTTCTAGTTCAGTTCTAGTTCAGTTCTAGTTCAGTTCAGTTCTAGTTCAGTTCTAGTTCAGTTCTAGTTCAGTTCTAGTTCAGTTCTAGTTCAGTTCTAGTTCAGTTCTAGTTCAGTTCTAGTTCAGGTCTAGTTCAGTTCTAGTTCAGGTCTAGTTCAGTTCTAGTTCAGTTCTAGTTCAGTTCTAGTTCAGTTCTAGTTCAGTTCTAGTTCAGTTCTAGTTCAGTTCTAGTTCAGTTCTAGTTCAGTTCTAGTTCAGTTTAGTTCTAGTCAGTTCTAGTTCAGTTCAGTTCTAGTTCAGTTCTAGTTCAGTTCTAGTTCAGTTCTAGTTCAGTTCTAGTTCAGTTTCTAGTTCAGGTCTAGTTCAGTTCTAGTTCAGTTCTAGTTCAGTTCTAGTTCAGTTCTAGTTCAGTTCTAGTTCAGTTCTAGTTCAGTTCTAGTTCAGTTCTAGTTCAGTTCTAGTTCAGTTCTAGTTCAGTTTCTAGTTCAGTTCTAGTTCAGTTCTAGTTCAGTTCTAGTGCAGTTCTAGTTCAGTTCTAGTTCAGTTCTAGTTCAGTTCTAGTTCAGTTCTAGTTCAGTTCTAGTTCAGTTCTAGTTCAGTTCTAGTTCAGTTCTAGTTCAGTTCTAGTTCAGTTCTAGTTCAGTTCTAGTTCAGTTTAGTTCAGTTCTAGTTCAGTTCTAGTTCAGTTCTAGTTCAGTTCTAGTTCAGTTCTAGTTCAGTTCTAGTTCAGTTCTAGCTCAGTTCTAGTTCAGTTCTAGTTCAGTTCTAGTTCAGTTCTAGTTCAGTTCTAGTTCAGTTCTAGTTCAGTTCTAGATCAGTTTTAGTTCAGTTTTATTTCAGTTTTAGTTCAGTTCTAGTTCAGTTCTAGTTCAGTTCTAGTTCAGTTCTAGTTCAGTTCTGGTTCAGTTCTAGTTCAGTTCTAGTTCAGTTCTAGTTCAGTTCTAGTTCAGTTCTAGTTCAGTTCTAGTTCAGTTCTAGTTCAGTTCTAGTTCAGTTCTAGTTCAGTTCTAGTTCAGTTCTAGTTCAGTTCTAGTTCAGTTCTAGTTCAGTTCTAGTTCAGTTCTGGTTCAGTTCTAGTACAGTTCTAGTTCAGTTCTAGTTCAGTTCTAGTTCTAGTTCAGTTCTAGTTCAGTTCTAGTTCAGTTCTAGTTCAGTTCTAGTTCAGTTCTAGTTCAGTTCTAGTTCAGTTCTAGTTCAGTTCTAGTTCAGTTCTAGTTCTGTTCTAGTTCAGTTTTAGTTCAGTTCTAGTTCAGTTCTAGTTCAGTTCTAGTTCAGTTCTAGTTCAGTTCTAGTTCAGTTCTACTTCAGTTCTAGTTCAGTTCTAGTTCAGTTCTAGTTCAGATCTAATTTAGTTTTAGAACAGTTCTTATTCAGTTTTAGTACTGTTCTTATTCAGTTTGGTTTCATTCTAGTTTAGTTATATTTAAGATCTCGGTTCAGTTTTATTTCAGTTTTAGTTCAGTTCTAGTTCAGTTCTAGTTCAGTTCTGGTTCAGTTCTAGTTCAGTTCTAGTTCAGTTCTAGTTCTAGTTCAGTTCTAGTTCAGTTCTAGTTCAGTTCTAGTTCAGTTCTAGTTCAGTTCTAGTTCAGTTCTAGTTCAGTTCTAGTTCAGTTCTAGTTCAGTTCTAGTTCAGTTCTAGTTCAGTTCTAGTTCAGTTCTAGTTCAGTTCTAGTTCAGTTCTAGTTCAGTTCTAGTTCAGTTCTAGTTCAGTTCTAGTTCAGTTCTAGTTCAGTTCTAGTTCAGTTCTAGTTCAGTTCTAGTTCAGTTCTAGTTCAGTTCTAGTTCAGTTCTAGTTCAGTTCTGGTTCAGTTCTAGTACAGTTCTAGTTCAGTTCTAGTTCAGTTCTAGTTCTAGTTCAGTTCTAGTTCAGTTCTAGTTCAGTTCTAGTTCAGTTCTAGTTCAGTTCTAGTTCAGTTCTAGTTCAGTTCTAGTTCAGTTCTGTTCTAGTTCAGTTTTAGTTCAGTTCTAGTTCAGTTCTAGTTCAGTCCTAGTTCAGTTCTAGTTCAGTTCTAGTTCAGTTCTACTTCAGTTCTAGTTCAGTTCTAGTTCAGTTCTAGTTCAGATCTAATTTAGTTTTAGAACAGTTCTTATTCAGTTTTAGTACTGTTCTTATTCAGTTTGGTTTCATTCTAGTTTAGTTATATTTAAGATCTCGGTCTGCTTTAATTATGTTCTAGGTCAGATTCGATTCCTTGGTTTATTGTTACACCTCCAATTGGACGATTTTGTTAAGCCATTCGATTGTGCCACAATGAAGATATACATACATATTACCGAATAATATAAACGAATGTATTATAATAATTAAGCTACAAAACTAAAATTATTTAAATAAATTTATACCAAAAACAAAATTTTAAGCCCTGCTTTTTTATTCTGAGTTTGACAAATAATTGTATTTTAAATAATTAGTAATTTTATACTGATTAATCAAAATTTTTTGTAATGCTCTAAAATTAAAGAAAACTAAATAAAATTTACAAAACCATTTAACTATAACTAATTAAATGCATTAATTACCCACAGGGCGACACAGATTTCTGTGAAAGTAATGACGGCATGGATTCAGATGCTAGTACCTCATCAAATCCTGGCAAACAGGTGGTTGTGGGCATATGTGCCATGGCCAAAAAGACACAATCGAAACCAATGAAAGAAATTCTAACACGTTTGCAGGATTTTGAATTTATTAAAATGGTCATATTCGAAGAAGATGTCATACTAAAGGTAAATTAATTTTATTCTGAAAACCGTAAACATTGCGTTAACTATTTACATAATAAATTTCTTTAAAGGAACCTGTAGAAAATTGGCCTATATGCGATTGTTTGGTATCCTTTCACTCTAAGGGTTTTCCTTTGGAAAAGGCCATACAATATGCTCAATTGCGTAAACCTTATGTTTTAAATAATCTTCATATGCAGTACGATATACAGGATCGTCGTAGAGTCTATGCTATATTGGAAAAGGAAGGTATTGAAATACCACGTTATGCGGTATTAGATCGTGATTCACCAGATCCAAAACGTTAGTATGAAAACTTTCTTTTAATAATAGTTGATTGTTTAATAATTTCTTAATCATTTCTATATAATTTCAGAACATGAACTTATAGAATCGGAAGATCATGTAGAGGTCAATGGTATTATATTTAATAAACCCTTTGTGGAGAAACCAGTATCGGCTGAAGATCATAATATTTATATTTACTATCCCACTTCGGCCGGCGGTGGTAGTCAGCGTTTATTTAGAAAGGTAATATTTTCGCTGTTATTTATAATAATTTGTTTTAGTAGAAATAAACACAATTATAACTTTAATTAATCTTGTCCTCTCTCTCTTTCTTTTTCTTCAGATCGGCAGCCGTAGTAGTGTGTACTCCCCCGAATCTCGTGTTCGTAAAACGGGTTCATTTATTTATGAAGATTTCATGCCCACTGATGGTATGTATAATTTTACTATTCTCTATAACAAAATCATTTTGTGTTTTTGTTTCTCTTACCAACAAAATTTTCTTTAGCCACTTTTATAAAAAAAAGCAAAAATGTTCCTAAAAATTTGATTTGATTTTATTTTTATAACAGCCTTTTTTCTAAGTATAATTTATTTTGGTTTTTGACAATGTTTTTGTAAGTTTTTTTTTTCGATTTAATTTTACGCTATTAGAAAACTATTAGCAATAATTTCTAGCTGTTGCTTTTTTTTTTTTTGCTAGTACGTTTGTTCTAATTCTAAATGTTTGCTACGTTTTTTTTTTTATTTGTTTGTGTTAATTTTATTTAAATTACTAAAAAATGTTTTTAACCCGCTTTAACACATTCCAGGCCGTATATATAACAGATAACTTGTGTTTAATTGAGTATTTTTTTTTAGCTAAAAATGAGTCATTAAAATCTACTACATCGCTAAAAGAGTCACATCAATGTCACTAAAAAAAATATTTTTTTGTTTTATTATTCATAAAATTTAAATTTTGTTTACATTTTTAAATTAATTAAGTTGTTATTATTTGTTTTTGTTTATGTGTTAAATTATTTTAAAAGGGAATTGAAAGAAAAGTAATAATTGACATTGTTTGTATGGGAGTTACCTCCACTGTGTAGGTAATTGAGTAAATAAGAAGATTAATATTTACAAAAAATATTAATTTCTAAATTTATTTTACATTAAGTAAATATGTATTGGATTTAAAGCGTATTAGTTGTAAATCAGTAGTCATTTCTCACTTGATATATCATAATCATTAGGTCTAGTGTGGCACTGATGTCTAAACTACTCTCGTTTGGGATAGGAAACTAATTTTGTCTTTGTATTTCGACAACAACCCAGCAAAAAATAATAGATGTCATACTTTACAAACGACATCTTAATCACATCTAAAAATGCGATTGCATATTTTTCGCTTCTACAAACCGAATATTTCCTTACAAATAAAAACCGAGTTAAAAGTGAGGAAAGAGATGTTGAAAAGTCACTACAAATAACATATTTGAAGTACATCAAATTTTGGTGAAAAACCAATGAAATTTACATAAGCGTGTCATTGAAAGAATGTGGTTTATTTTTGACATCCAAATATCGGATTTTTACTGCATCTATGAATAAGATTAGATGTAGTTCAAAGTTGTCAAAAATGAACAACATCCCTCCAATACCACGCTAATGTAAAATTCATAGGTTTTTCGCCAAAATTGGAAGTACTTCAAGTATGTTATTTGTGGTGAAAATTCTACTTCTTTTTCCTCACTTTTTTTGCTGGGAATGTTTAGAATTTTGTGGCTCATGAACCACTTATTATCAGTCTCCACTAATCCAATATATTCCTTTGGCGGAGACCTTTATATCTTTCAGTCATGTTTATACCATTTTGAACGAAGTTGCATTCTTCAGTGTCATTTTCACTAACTGGACGAAAAATTACTCGTTTCGTTCCTCACTTTTATCTTCATAGTTCGTTAAGTGGTTTAGATTTCATGTACTGACAGCCTTTAGCTAAATATCCCAGCAAAAAAAAGAACTTCCAAAGAAGCAAAAAATAAGTTGTATTTGGAATGGAAATACTGAAAAAGACCTGAAGAAGTAATAATTTTAACACAGGCTTGTCGGAGGGGGGATAACCATTTTATTTGATGCCAAATTCACTACTTCTGAAGTCATTCTCAAGAATTAATTTTTCACTTAAATAATAATAATATTAATAAAGGGAAAAAACATATTTTTGCTACTTTTGAAGTGCTGATAGATTACATTCATTTGGAAGTACTTCGTTGTAACCCAGCAAAAAAAGTGTGGAAAAAGATGTAGAATTTTCATCACAACTAGTAACCCGAAGTGCTTCAAATTCGGGTGTAAAACCTATGAATTTTACATTTGCGTGTCATTGGAGGGATGTTGTTCATTTTTGGCAACTTTGAACTACATCTAATCTTATTTTTAGAAGCAGTAAAAATCCGATATTTGGATGTCAAAAATAAAACACATTCTCTTAATGACACGCTTATGTAAATTTCACTACTCTTTCACCAAATCTAGATGTACTTCAAATATGTTATTTGTAATGACTTTTCCACATCTCTTTCCTCACTTTTAACTGGGGTTTCATTTGTAAGGAAATATTTGGTTTATAAAAGTGAAAAATATGTAATCGCATTTTAAGATGTGATTAAGATGTAGTTTGTAAAGTATGACATCAATTATTTTTTGCTGGGAAGTCTACGACAGTCTTATATAGATATAGATGTGTACAAGGAGATAACAGACAGATTTCAAGAGGGAACAGTTTCAGATCTATTAGAACTATTAGCGGCTAGTTTGTTCAAGAAAAGTGGGTTGTGGGAGAATTGATATTAAACCAAATAAATCGAAAGTCTCCATGTTAACTTCTATACCAGGTTTCTTTCACATAGGAACGGCTGAAGAACAAATTTGTCCTATAACAACACAATTGGAAGTGTTTTTGGTGTTGCATATAAATATAGCAGTTCTACACTTTAAGAGGAAAAAACATTCCATTGTAATATCGGTAGAATAGCAAAAAAAGTTCCTAGGTATTGACGGTCATACAATGAATCAATAAAGTAATATATTCTATTGTCACAAATAAGATTCGAGGTCCTCTCCTGTCTCCCGCCTATACATAAGTGTTCTCAATTATATTAAAATCAGATAGCGACACTTGAATTCTGCGATCTCTGACAAAGCTGTAAATAAATTGAGAGAAATAATTAACGACGCCTGTTAGTTTTAATCAAAATGCAACATGCCACACTCTATCGAACATTTTGAAAATATTAAGCGCTTTATGTTGAATAGCACGATGCCATACGATACGAAACAAGATCGTAGTAGACCACATGTTCCTTGTCTTTGGAAAGTGCTAAACAATTTACTGTTGGACAACATTTTTTCGGATTGTTGCCCTTTCACTTTTAAGAATTGGCGTTGCAATAGCAACTTTACAATATGCAGGAAATTCGTCTGCATTGTATATAATACTCAAGATATTATGGTAAAGAGATGGCATCAAAGAGCATTAGGAGGTTACTCCGTATTTCGATTCGAAAATTTTTGTTTTAAATCCATCTGACACAGAAGACTTATTTATATTGAGATCCGTTGAAACTCTTTTAAAGGCACGCGTACGAAATAATATATAAGGCATAGTTTCTGGCACTCTGTTACTGACTCGTATAGAGCTTTATAGCATCATAAAAAAACAACGTTTCTTATGATCTTTGGGCTCGGTCCAGCGCGACTTTTTGTAGACTCAAATTGATTGTTTCTTATCTGCTTACAAAAAGGATAAAAGGGATAAAGAACATCATCTTGAACAATCATGTTGAGTAGATTATGCTCAATGTTTACCAGGAGATTTAGGGCCTATTATTTAATCTTGATCTCAGTTTGTGTAGCTCCTAATCATGTTTAAGATTGTGGGCTACTTCCACTGAAATCCTCTATAGATCTAAAGAACGGAACAAGATTTACTGTATAATCAGTCAATAATTATGGAAGGTGTGTGTTTTTTAGCTTTTAATCACCTGTTTTAACAATCTGCAAGAGCCAAAAGATGACAATTTCTTTATTAAGATTCTAATCATGTTTTAGATTGTGTGCAACTTCCACTGAATGCTTCTAGAGATCTTCGGAATGTAGCAATACTTAATGTGTGCGATCAGTCAATAAAGATGGAAAGTTTATGTTTATTTATCATTTAATCATAATTTCACAATCTGTTAGAGTCTCTCAAAATGTCGACGTTTGTCACTAACATCGAATTGTACTCTTTCGTTTCTTTGAAAGTAGATTAGATTAAATTAGAAAGGGCCCTAAGCAGTGCGACCCTGTTTTGGATCTTTTGTGCAGCCTGTGGGTTCACCATATACCATTCTTTGAAAGTATATTTTAACTGCTTTCTTGTTGGGCTTTCTAAAGTAATATAGACAAGTAAAATTTATGTTGAATGAAAATTTGGTTGAATGATTTTGGGCATGATCTTTGAAGAATGAACTTTAAGCTTTCTCGAAAAGAATTTCATTAGAAAATTATGAAACTTTTACATATCTTATATGTACATTAGGGTAATCCGGTTTGTATAGAGAAGAAATAAGTTACTGATGTTCCCAGCGAAAATTAACTTAAGTACATTTTAAGATACCTTTTCTCACAATTTATGTCCTGGGGTCAATATTTAGTAAGCTGGGTCAAAGGTTAAAAATGTTATTCGTTAAGATTTAAAAGGTCCCTCAAAAAAGGATCTATTAATCATCCATTTATCCACCGCACCTAATATTGTCGCCAAGACAATAATGTTGAGAAAGGGGATCTTAAACATTTCGCAATTTCGATTCTTATTATTTTAGGTCCTTAAGTGGTGTTTTAATGTTGTTGAAACAAATTTAATATTATTTAAATATTAAAAACAAATTTTGTTAAAATTGTAAATAATTTAATTAATAATAACAGATTTATTAAAAATAATCTTTTTTTCAAAATTTCAGAAATCACAGGAAGTAAAATATTTGAATAATTTGTTTTATTAACATTAAAAGTTATGTTTTAATAGAAATTAAGTAATTGGTTTTAAAAATTCAGTTTTTTTATGTTAATTAATTTTTATTTCTTTATTTTAAACGTTTTTCTTTTCATATTTTTAACGCATGTTTAATTTAAAACAATTTGTTTTGCTAATTTTTTATTTGAATTGCTTTTTTTTTACAAAAGAAATTGTTCATAAACAATTTAATTTTATTTATAGATTGATTTATTAATTATATATAAATTTCAAGTAAAAGTTTTTGCAGTCTAAACATAAACATTTAATAAAGTTTTTAATAATTAAGAATTAGCGGTTTTGTGTAAACCTTTGATAACTTTAATAATTGTTTATGCATTTAATGACTGTTTATCATTTACAATTTCAAAGTTTATTTTAAAGGCATTTTATACCTTTATAAACTATAAATTGTGTATTGATAAAAAAAAAACTAAATTATTTCTTCTTCACCTTAGCAGCTGACAAAAATTCAATTCGAAATATGTAAACAAAATCAGAAAAATTTAAAATCATTCACTGTCATTGCGTTACCTGCCTGAAACGTCCATTTTGTTACGATAACAGTTTGTACACGTTTGTGTTGTTAATTGTTGTTATTTAACAAATTCTTTAAAATTATTTTTGTAATACAAAAAACCGAATATCCAATTAAAAAAAAGAAATAAGTATTATTATTATAACTTACACCTTAAAAGAACAAATAATAAACAAATCTTAATATCAAAAAACCAAAAAAAAAAAAATCTTATTATAAACTAAAATGAGATTTGTATAACAACCCAGTATTACTTTTAAAACGTAGTATATTTTCCAGGTACCGATGTCAAAGTCTATACTGTGGGTCCCGACTATGCACATGCTGAAGCACGCAAAAGTCCGGCTTTAGATGGCAAAGTTGAGCGCGACAGTGAGGGCAAAGAGATACGTTATCCGGTCATATTAAATCATGCCGAAAAATTAATATCACGCAAAGTTTGCTTGGCCTTTAAACAAACCGTTTGTGGTTTTGATTTATTAAGGTAAATTAAAGGGGAGTGTTCTAAACGTAATGTTTATGATAAATTTTTCTTTTTTACATTTTAGAGCCAATGGAAAATCGTATGTGTGCGATGTAAATGGCTTTAGTTTTGTTAAAAATTCCAATAAATACTATGATGATTGTGCCAAAATATTGGGTAATATGATTTTAAGAGAATTAACACCTACCTTGCATATACCCTGGTCGGTGCCCTTTCAATTAGATGATCCTCCCATAGTGCCCACAACGTTTGGTAAAATGATGGAGTTGCGCTGTGTAGTGGCTGTTATAAGACATGGTGATCGTACACCTAAACAGAAAATGAAAGTTGAAGTTAGACATCCTAAGTAAGTTGGTATAATTTTTTTTAATTTGTTTAAAAAAATAATAATTGTTTTGTTTGTTTTTTTAGATTTTTTGAAATTTTTGAAAAATATGATGGCTTTAAGCATGGTCATGTTAAATTGAAACGTCCTAAACAATTACAAGAAATTTTAGATATTGCTCGTTTCTTGTTGGCTGAAATTGAAACTAAAGATAATCCCGAAATTGAGGAGAAAAAGAGTAAATTGGAACAATTGAAAAGCGTTTTAGAAATGTAAGTTATATTATTCTTTTCTAAAAAAAGAAATTAGAAATTGTTCACATATAATCAATACGAGAACTGGTGACATTGGAATTTTTAATATAGTTTTTGGTGTCGTTATTATTTTTAAAAATCGCGAATGATAATGTATTCAAAAAAGTTCGTTTGAGAACTAGAACTTCAAAATAATTTTACTTTCACCTCACATCTTTGCTGTCGTAACAACTTCTAGAAACCATATCCAATAGCAGACGTGCGCTATTTTTGTTCCTTTGTGAAGACTTAAAAGATATGAGTGGAATCCTTCAAGAGCGAGTATGCAATTGTATTAATGTTAGTGTTTAAGTAGTGTTAGTTCCTAATGAAAATCAACTCAAAATGAAAATCATTATGTATTTAAACAACCGATTACAGAACAGTTTTCTAGATGAAATCTTGGCACCTTATAGATTCAACTTAACCAGTTCTAAAGCCTTAATTAAATTTGATTTTAAAATCATTTTAAGAAATATTTGATTATTGTTGTTTTCTTTTAGGTATGGTCACTTTTCTGGTATTAATCGTAAAGTACAAATGAAATATCAACCCAAAGGACGTCCTCGTGGTTCCAGTTCTGATGACGGTAATAATGTTAAGACTTGTATGTATTTATTTTCTTTCATATTTTTTTTTTAGTTTTTCTAACTACAGATACAAACACAAACTACACAGTAGAAAACAAGATTAATCTGTAAATATTTTTAAATTCATGAGCTTTATATGATTCTTAATTTCTTAAGCTAAATACTTTTCTTGCCAACAATCAAGTTTTCAGGTAAAAGACGAGGGTTTAGATTACAGAGTGGACTATAGTCTAAAGTACTAGACTAGATTATATCGATTTGACTTTAGTCAAGTCCATAGACTACTACTTGAGTTTAAACTGTAAACTGGACTAGAGTACAGAGTAGACTAGATACTAGACTAGAGACTAGACAAGAGACTAGACTATATACTAGACTAGAGACTAGACTATATACTAGACTAGAGACTAGACAATATACAAGAGACTAGATTAGACACTAGGCTATAGAATAGAGCCTATGCTACAGAATATATACTAGGCTACTGAATAGAGACTAGAGTAGAGACTACCTAGAGACTAAACTGCAGACTAGACTACAAACTTGTCTACTGACAAGACTATAGACTAAACTACAGACTAAATAACACACTAGACTGTAGACTAGATTATAGATAAGATTACAGACTAGACTACATACTTGAATACAGACTAGACTAGAGACTAGATTACATACAAGACTATTGACTAAACTACAGCCTATACAGTGGAATAGATTACTAACTACAGACTAGACTTCAGTATAAACGACAGACTTGACTGAAAACTAGACTAGAGAATAGATTACATACTAGTCTATAGACTAGACTTCAGACTAAACTAAAGCCTAGACTATAGACAAGACTACAGACTAGGCTATACACTAGATTACAGAATTAACTACATACTAGTCTACAGATAAGACTACAGACTAAACTAGACTAGAGAAATGAAACTTGACCACAGGCTATATTTCAGACTAGACTCTAGACAACAGAATAGACTATAGATTTGACTATATATTAGACTAGATACTAAACTACCGGCAAGATTACTGACTACAAACTAGTTTACAGAAGAGACTATGGATTAGTCTATAGTCCAGACTACAGTCAACACTACATACAACATAAGAATGTATAACAATTTTTCCTCTTCCTCCTACGTTAACTCATAAATCTTTGAAAACATTAAAACAACTAAAAGGACAATCATACTTCATATTCAACTAATAATCACAATCACACAAAAGAAGAAAAATACACTACAAACTCGATAAATAATAATCAAACGAATGTTTCATAATAAAAATAAAATTAAACAATTTTAAAATCTTTTTCTAAAGTAGACGCACCCACCGAACCATCTTTAGTATTGATATTAAAATGGGGTGGAGAATTAACACCGGCGGGACGCATACAAGCCGAAGAATTGGGACGCATATTTAGGTGTATGTATCCGGGAGGACAAGGAAGACAAGATTATTCGGGTACACAGGGATTGGGGTTATTAAGGTAAATATTGTATAGAAATTCTAAGTAGCACTTTTTAAAATTGAATAATTTTCTTAAAGATTACACTCCACCTTTCGTCATGATTTAAAAATCTATGCCTCTGATGAGGGAAGAGTACAAATGACAGCAGCAGCATTTGCCAAAGGTCTATTGGCCTTAGAAGGTGAACTAACGCCCATTTTAGTACAAATGGTTAAGAGTGCCAATACTAATGGTTTATTGGATAATGATTGTGATTCCAGTAAATATCAAAATATGTAAGTTTTTCTTTAAAATTTTACAAGAAATTTAAAAGTTTCAATATTTTCTGTTTCTCTCCAAGGGCCAAAAATCGCTTACACGAATTAATGCAAGTTGATCGTGAATTTACAGCCGATGATCGTATGGCTATTAATCCCAATAACAGTATTTCCATTAATCAAGCTTTGGATTTTGTTAAAAATCCCGTAGAATGCTGTAATCATGTGCACAGTCTCATTAAAGAGTTACTAATTATTATAAGTGTTAAAAAAGATGATCCCAAAACAAAGGATGCTATACTCTATCATGGTGAGACTTGGGATTTAATGCGTTGTCGTTGGGAAAAAATCGAAAAAGATTTTAGTACTAAATCAAAACTATATGACATCTCGAAAATACCCGATATCTATGATTGCATTAAATATGATTTACAGCATAATCAACATACTCTGCAATACGATCAGGCAGAGGAATTATACATTTATGCTAAATATCTAGCCGATATTGTTATACCACAAGAATATGGTTTAACAATGCAAGAAAAATTGACAATTGGCCAGGGTATATGTACGCCATTATTGAAAAAGATCAAATCAGATTTACAACGTAATATCGAAGAGGTCGAAGATGAGTCGGTAAATCGTTTGAATCCCCAGTATAGTCATGGTGTTGCTAGCCCTGGTAGACATGTACGCACTCGCTTATATTTCACTAGTGAAAGTCATGTTCATTCTCTACTAACGGTTCTGCGTTATGGTGGTTTATTGAATGTTTTAACCGATGAACAATGGCGTCGTGCTATGGATTATATTTCGATGGTATCGGAACTCAATTATATGTCACAAATTGTTATAATGTTATATGAAGATCCTACTAAAGATCCCACATCGGAGGAGAGATTCCATGTGGAATTACACTTTAGCCCGGGTGTTAATTGCTGTGTGCAAAAGAATTTGCCTCCAGGACCAGGTTTTAGACCACATTCTCGCAATGATTCGGGGCAATTGAGAACTTCGGTAAGTGTATAAGAGAAAAATGTTGGTTTTAATTTGGGAAAATATTCAGTTCTTAATGTTTTTAGTAAAACTCTTTGTACTTTTTTATTTTACAGAATCATGAAGACTGCAACAGCAATCCCTCGCGCATAGATGAGGAAAATGACACCGAGGAGAGTCCAGTTAAAACTCACATGGTATTTTTACTTTTTTTTCAAAATTCACAAAACCTTTCCTTAATACCCAATACAATTTCCCCAACTCTTAAAGCTTTCACCCGATCGTTTAGATTGTGAAATACGTCCGTTAAAATCTAAACCCATACCTATAGGAGCCCATCATACGGTATCGGGACATGAGGCTATGGATTTGGCCAAGCGACTCAATCAAGAATTGGCCTCGCAACAACAGCAAACCAAACAGACAGGTTCTCTTGAAGCTACCCGTCCCCTAAGTCCCGATGGTGAGCCCAGATCACGTAGTTTTGAACAAAGACCAAAAAATATTAAAGGTATGTACAATTCCTTTTCTATACATTATAATTATTATTATTTTCAACAATTACCAATTAGCTTTATTAACTTTTATCTTTTTGTCAATGTTTTGTTTAAAAAGTTTTATTGTTTTTTTATGGTTTTAACTTTTTTTTTACTTTATATATAATTTGCATGATTATATTTTGTGATTTGAAAAAGAAACCACAATTTTTGGTGTTTCTCTTTTGCAAAACGTCAAATCTCTAAAGGAGAGTTGTATAAAAACCAATCAAAAACGAATATAAATAAATTCACAAAATTTCCATAAACATAGCATTTCCGTTTAAGGATTTTGTTTTAATTATTAATTATTTTTTGTATAAACAATTTGTTTATGTTTAATTTGTTTTATTTACAATTTCCGTTGTGTACATTGTTTTGTAATGTTTTTTTTTTTTTTTTTGTGAATTTATTTGTTTAATTTATTAACTTTTAATTTTGCCACAAAGAGATAAAAATAAACCTTTGTAAATTTTAATTTATTTATTTTGTTGGGTCTATTTATTTTATGTCTTATTATTATTTTCTAATCGATTTTTTTCTATTTGTTTTTGTATCATAAACGATTCTCTACAAAACAATCAACAACAACAAAATTATCTCTGCAAACATCTTTATATATTTTTTTTTTATAAATCTCTTAATTATTTTGTTTTTTATTTGTTAATACAAAAACAAAACAACTCCAATGTATTCTAAATCATGAATTATATAAAAAAAAAAACTTTATATAAGCATCTGGCCGGGAATTCCGTGTATTTGGCTGAAGTTCGTTGTCCCTAATTCTTTTTCTAAGTTTTCTCTTTAGAACGTTAAATTAACAACTGACAATATAAAGTCTTGTTTTAAGACTCGAGATTATAAGAATTCTTGTTTTTAGGAATTTTTATAATTTAAGAAATATTTCATAATATTTGGAAAAAATATATATTGTCAGCAGTTAAATTAACGTTTATTATCTTGTAAAATATTCTTTAAAATACACAGTGTTATGATGGTTTTTAATTTTGTGTATAATATGAGATTTGAATAAGGTTTTGAAATTTAAATATCTTTTCAAAACACCTACAAAATGTAAATTCTAATGATCAGTCTTTGAAAATTATATTAAATATATTGAAACTTAAGAGAAAATACATTTTCTTGGAAAATGTGGACTTAGAAGAAACCTTAAAAGATCTCTTCATACTTTTATTCAAAATTAAAACAAATTCAAAACACTGTGTATTATTCTCCTTGACAAAATTCCAAACCTTGTTAGTTTTTCATTTTTGCGAAATATTAAGTTTTTGAACAAAAACAAATGTTTTTCTACAAAATTTACACAATCTCTTTGAAATTGTTTTAATATTGCATGCTTGTAACGTGTTAAACTATAAAGTTAGTTATGAAAACTAATACAATTTTGCTTAAAACGAAAATAAAAAGGCTTTAACTAATTTGAAGGAAGAAATTTGCCAATTAATTTCAATCTAATATTGTTTAACTACTAAAATCTTCGAAGAATCTGAAAATCTAAAGAATATTCTTGAAATTAAATTACCTACAGTTCAAAGTTCTCTTCTAGAACACCGCCTGCGAAAAAATCCCGCATACCTTAATGGTTTGATTCTTAATTGAAAATATTTGAAATTACTTTAGGATTTCCATGTGTATAGAACACTGAGGACACATTTGATTCCATTATTTGACTCTTTTGTGCTAAAGAGATTTATATTAGTACATTTCTTAACAGGTAAGAGTGCCCTTTCTCAAATTTTCTCATAGCTCTGTCTCAGGCTTGAACTTAATTATACTTTGATCATGTTAGGGTTTATTTTAATTATAAAGTTTGTTAGTTAGTTTGAAAGGAGGATGTATGTTACATGAAATCCGAAGAAAACCATCTATGAATCGAACCCACATTCTAGTCTAACAGACTAGAACACTAACCACTAACCTATCGGAGGTTAGTAAAGAACACTAACCACTAACCTATCGGAGGCTAGTAAAATTTGTATAGTTTTTATGAAGTTGTAATGGTTTCGAAACTTGTTTTATAAACCTTCGTGATCTTTGTTCCACCAAGAACATTGTGAAAATAAAGAACTCTAAAATTTCTTAATGATTTTAGCAAATGATAACTGAGCATTTATTTCTTAATAATACAACTTCCTAGTGCAAAAGTTTTCACGACGATCTGATTCAGGAAATCGCTAAATGTTTGATCTTTCATTGAAAATGATTGTCATAATTATCTTACCGTTATGCGAGATAAGACAACTTATCTCAGAACAGTTTTAATCAAGATGATGTCGTTATAATGGTTCCAATGCTAACAGCTTCAAACAAAGTTATTGGTTCGCATTTGGTACCTCTTTTCCAAGAACAACGAAGATTTGAAAGCCTTTTCAGTCATCGATTAAATTCTTATGGGAAGATCATATATTATGATTACAAATTTTCAATTCAATTAATAAGAATCAAACAAGAAGAAAATTGCGAACAAATATTAAGATTTTAAAACTATTCAACTAATAACGATTAATTAAAGGATGTAACCATTACAAAGAATGCATACAGGCTTCTTAACGCTTTCGGAGGTGAGGTGCAACCTCTTTCAAATTGGCTTCGAAAATATTTTCTGTCCTTCCTTCTTCTTGATCACATTTGAATGTAAAAATATTGATTAAATAACAATAGTTATGGAATTCTAAAAAAGAAAATTTTATCGCGAAAATTTCTGAAGAACTAGTTCTAAGCAAAAATCATTGATTAAAGAATTTGTTCTAGAATTATTTAAAGATAACTAGGCTTCTTAATGGCCGACATTCGAAACTATACAGCTTCTTCAGTAGGTGACAATTTTGAAAAAAAGCCACTTATGTTCTGCTACAATTTTACAGAATAATACTTCCTTAAAGTTCTGAAGCATTTTTGAAAAAACCAAACACCCTGATTACCCTACCACCAAATTTTGTACATTAAGCTATTATGTATTTTTAACTGTATTATAACATTCAGCGCTAAAAAATTCCTTCCTTCAAACTTCCGCCTTTAAAAAACCTAAAGCCTTTAAAATAATCACCCTAAATACAAGCTTGCTTTTTTTTTTTGCCTGGAAATAATCTAGAGTGTTGTGAGTGCGTCCTGGTGCATATTGTCTTTGAACATACCAAACTTTAATAAACATATTGTAAATGTATGCGTGTGTCTGTGTGTATGTGTACTATATTTTTACTTAAAACTTTCTCTTAAATGTTTCTTAATACACTATTTTTAAGATTTTTTTTATAAGTTCTATTTATTTCTTTGATCTTATTAAACAACAAATACCAACAACTTTTTTATTTTTCCAAAAAAAAAAAAAAAAAAAAAATGTACACACAACATTTCCCTTTCTATTAAATAACTTTCAAAACTCCCTTAATAATGGTCCACGTTATTGCTTTTGTTATGGCTTTCAAACAAACAAAAAAAATAACAAAACTCTTCATTCTTAAACTAATGATTTAAACTAATAAAAAACTTAAATAGAAGAGGTTGAGTCGAATGTTTCACGACAAGACAAAGATTTCCAAGAGATTCTAACCTCACGTGTGACTAATCTCAATCGTTCGGTTTTTCAAATACGAGTAACTGATAATTTAACATTATTCAAAATTGATTCTTCCACCAATGAACTGCCTTTATCTGAAATTGATTTTTCTGTAAATCCAGGCACACCCGAAAGTCAAGATATTTGTTTAGCACATCAAAAATCCAGCTCACCCGGTGAACGTTTGCAAAAACGTCATGCTCAATTATTGACTATGCGTCGCATGGAAAGTGGCGATGAACCGGATTTTGTACAAAAACTAAGGGACTGTAGGAAAATCTCTCCCTTAGCCACCAATGAACATCCGTTGTCGTGTAATTGTTCCTTTCATTTGCCTAGTGTTAATGAGGATGTTGCCTATCCACATGCTCATTCGAAAAGTGAAGCTGATATTTCGGATATTGTACCTTATGCCTCAAAAGTATCTAGTCCACCTATAGCGATTGCTTCACCTAGGAATTCTTTTGAAGAGGATTATCAATTACCCTCTTCTGCTCCGGCAGCTCTAATGAGTGGAGAATTTCATATGAACTTTCGTAAAAAATCGAATACCCTTAAACCTTCCTCCGCTTCTAATTCCCCCACTGCTTCTACACTACAATTATGTCAGGCTTTAGATGAACCTCCCATTCTTAATAACTGTCCGCCAGGCTCTAGGTTGTCACGTAACAAGCATGCTGCTAATAGTAACGATTTCAATCCCCATAAACAATGTTTATCTTCAGCCCAATCGGCACCGGTTATAGTAGATTTGGCGAATCCTTTTAAATTTCCTGCTTTATATAGTTTTAAACAATTTGCTCCAATTGCTGAAAATGCTGCAACTAATACAACCTTTTCTCCTTCCATCCTCAACACTGACACTATCACGAACCCTACCATTACTGTTGTCGACACCAATTCTATACCCTCAACATCCCAACATCCTCCACAACAACATTTTAATGCCTATCATCATCCTTATCACAATCCAAATCCTTTTCCTCTCCATCACTATCATATGCATCATGATCATTCTTATCAACATCCTCATATGCATCATCATCATCATACTAACAACAATAACAATGCTCACCTACACCAATACACACCACCACCATCAACATCCGCTCATATACCAAATGTTGTTGTTACTTTTAATAACTCTCCCACGTCCTCAACAAATTTCAATGATTTGCCTTTTAATAAAAACAATGATGATTTTGATGAATTTAATACAAATATCACTTCTACATCTGGCGTTGCCTCTTCTATCCACCAACAACACCATCCCCTTAAAACTCCTTCTCGCATTTCTTGTTCATCTCGTTCACGCACCCCTATTGATTCCTTCGATAAACCTTTTAACACTTCCTCCATTATCAAACCTACTATTGCTGATACCACTACAGATAATACGGTCACTTCGACATCATCGTCGTCATCGGTATCGTCTAGACGTCAAAGACACAGTATTGCCGGCCAGATGTCTTATATGAAAATGTTGGGATTCGGTGGTTTTAGTAAAAAGATGACCACTAGCTCCAATAGTCTATTTAGTACAGCGGTTATAACTGGAAGTTCCTCAGCTCCAAATTTGAGAGATATGATACCAGTATCATCATCCGGTAAGTTTATAATGAATATGTTTTTCTTTTCTTTTTCTTTTTTATATAAAATTTAGTGTAAAGGTACAGACAGGGACAATTTGATTTGTATTATGTGTACAGAATCGGTTTTAAAATTGTTTTAAGTAAGCTTCCGCAAATTTAGAACCGATAATGATAATTTTATCGGTGCTAAAATTGCGTTCTTTTATATATTTTTGGCAAGTGTTATGCAACTTTCTGTACAGCACCTTGCAGTGGATGATGTTTAACTCAATATTAGGAAATTTCGAGCTGGATCCTTAAGAATCTTTTAGATTTTTCGCTTTGAAATTAAATAATATCGCGAATTAAAAACTTGGTTTGCAGAACCATCACCTAGATCAATAATGATCAAATTATTGGAGATCGCAACTTTTAATTGAATGAATACAAGTCAAACGAGATTTTTCGATTCAAATAGTAATTCAAAATTCTACTTTTTCTGTTGAACATATTTCGAAGGTACTAAATTCTATCAAAACTATCAATCCCGACTTTTAATTGAAGCTGAAAACTGATTAATGATTAAAGGACTGGATATAGAACCACTATCACTAATTTCGATCTCAAACATAACTACAATCATAAATGGTTTTCGAAACTTTTTATGAAGCACTTTTAAAAGGTCGAAGGGCCACAATCGAGAATGATCAACTCTCCTATCGTTATCTGACCAAAATGAATAGAAAATTCTACTGCTTTCGATTTTTAGAATCAAAGAGAAATTCTGAATTCAAACTATTTCGCTATCAAAACTATAGATCGTAATTTTTTAATTGAATGAATTAAATCAAACATGAAATCGGTCTCTGCCTTCGATTTTTCGGATCAGATAGGAATTATTACTACAAATATAATTTCTTTTCGAAACTAGTTCAAAGGCGGAAGGGCCGTAATCGAAATTTAAATGGAGATACCATAATTTGATTCCCAAATTTTCTTTGCTTTGTTCTATAAAGAGAAAAGTATGTTAGTAATCCAGAAAATATAAACTTTTACTGCTAACGAGACAAGAGTTCATACTTTCTTAAAAGTATTCCCATGATACTTTCTGCTTCACCGTGGAACTATATTTTAGTCAATAACTCTCAAACTGCTTACCTATGCATCTAAAATTTCAATGGCATATATATAGATCGTTATAATATAAAAATACCGATCGTGTTTCTTACAGAAATATAAAATTTTAGCCGATAGATGGCGACATTGCTTCAGATTTTAGTCGGTTATACCCAAACTACTGAACAAATAAGGATGAAATATGAAATGGATAAAAGGGAAGATAAATGGATCGTTATATTATTTATAGATAAATTTTAGATTTAAGTCAATTATACCTAAACCACTAAACATTTTGTCTTGAAATTTAAAAGGTATTTAAATTTTTCATCAAATGGAAAAAAAAATTTTAACATTTTTAAAATTATTTGTAAAAATGGCAAATAAAATATTTTTCCCAATTTCTTTCAACGGTTTTTTACATCTTTTGCAATGTTTATCTAATGGCTATATATAAGCTGCCTTTAATCATCGATCGTTTTCAGCAATATCGCGCAATATCAGCTATAAAGCCTTTTAACACTGCTGCAAAATTAACTGCTCCAAATAATAATCAGCTTTAAGTTTCGAAGTTATTTTAAGTTGCATGGATTGCCCGCCATTAATGGAGTACTCTCGAATTCCCTTAGGTCTATTGTATCCCTAGTCTGGTTGATTTTGTGCATCTTGTGGTACTCGAGAGAATCAAACTTCTCTTAGACAGTAGATAAAGAAAGGGTCTTGTACCAATATATGATTATATGCGCTATTGTGGGTCAGGATTCTTGTTATCAGGATCCTAAGTCACAGCAAGCACAATCATGCCGGTACACATCATTGCAAATAGTGACCAGCAGTAAGTCAGACTTACAAGATTTTAGAGTAAAATTGTCTAATATTGTTCGATTATAACATTTTTTTAAATAAAGAAAATTTTGGAAATTGTTTAGCTTTTTTGGAAATTAATCATAAGCTATTATAGATTGTTATCGACTAAGAAAATCTATATAAAGAAATCTTAATTCAAATACCACGCGCCACATTTTATAGAGCTTTTTTTTGAATTCAGTCTGCACTAAAAATATATGTATTTAGATTTCATTCCCACCCATTTAATCCACAATTATCACTTTAAAAACCACTATTCATTTGAAAAGTCTTCTCGTTAACAGTTCTGGATGGTTTTGGTGGTGTACCGCCCATACGCCCCCTGGAAACGCTACACAATGCATTATCGCTCAAACAGCTAGATCATTTTCTAGAGAAAATGACTTCGGCTCCGCTCTTTAAAACGCCCACTTGCACACCGCCCAAAAATCCCTCAACCCCCTTGTCCATGATGACAACAACAACTCTAGAGGAAGAACCATTGGCTAGTACACCCACAAATCATGTATGCCGTTGCAACGATAATAGTGTGATAAATGAAAAGAATCCCGATAGATGTAGCATGTGTGGTCATCAGTTACGTCCTGCTTTACCAGGAGCAGCCTCAACACCCCTAACGCCAGCTGTTGAGGGCAATTCAATGACAAAATCTGTAAACGATAATGTCGGACCACTTTGTAAGTGATTTACAATTAAGATTTGTAAATGTTTACATATATATTTTCAAAATTATTATATAAATATTAAATGGATATTAATTTAAATCATTGAGTATCTTGGCCGCAAAGAAAATTATAAACAAAATGCATTATTATAATTTATATCTTTTATAATTGGTGTATTGTAAAACAAAATTATTTTATTTAATTATAATTTGATTTAATTTAATTAAAAATTAAATTTATTATTGTATGCCTTTATTAAAAGACACTATTTTGAAACAAACAAATAAATCACTGATGTATTTAAGATAATTTTGCATATTTTTTTTTTTTATTAATTTATTTAATTTGCACATTAGTTGAAATATTTATATAATTTGCACATTTCTTATTATTCTTGTGGTAATATTTTATAGAAATTAACGATTTTTCAGGGGTTTAGGGGTTTGAAATAATTAATAATAATTTAGGGCAAACATTTTGCTCTTTTACTCTTAAATTGCAGATGTTTTTTTCAAGAAAAATTTATATTTTTTGCTGGGGACTAGTCTATTAATTAATCAATGGACTGAACTAGAAATAGAACTGAACTAATACGTAGTAGTTCAGTACTCAACTAAAACTCAAACTGGAATACACATTTTTACAATTTATGCCCTGTGGCGTATAAGTGATAAAAATTATATTTGCGTTACCCATACGAATACTTATGGTGTCCGGTCGAACTCTTTTTAGAAAAATGTTGAAATAGAACTGAACTAGAACTGAACTAGAACTGAACTAGAACTGAACTAGAACTGAACTAGAACTGAACTAGAACTGAACTAGAACTGGCCTAGAACTGAACTAAAACTGAACTAGAACTAAACTAGAACTGAGCTTGAACTGAACTAGAACTGAACTAGAACTGAACTAGAACTGAACTAGAACTGAACTAGAACTGAATTGAACTGAAGTAGAACTGAACTAGAACTGAACTAGAACTGAACTAGACTAGACTGAACTAGAACTGAACTAGAACTGAACTAGAACTGAACTAGAACTGAACTAGAACTGAACTAGAACTGAACTAGAACTGAACTAGAACTGAACTAGAACTGAACTAGAACTGAACTAGAACTGAACTAGAACTGAACTAGAACTGAACTAGAACTGAACTAGAACTGAACTAGAACTGAACTAGAACTGAACTAGAACTAGAACTGAACTAGAACTGAACTAGAACTGAACTAGAACTGAACTAGAACTGACCTAGAACTGAACTAGAACTGAACTAGAACTAAACTAGAACTGAGCTTGAACTGAACTAGAACTGAACTAGAACTGAACTAGAACTGAACTAGAACTGAATTTGAACTGAAGTAGAACTGAACTAGAACTGAACTAGAACTGAACTAGAACTGAACTAGAACTGAACTAGAACTGAACTAGAACTGAACTAGAACTGAACTAGAACTGAACTAGAACTGAACTAGAACTGAACTAGAACTGAGCTTGAACTGAACTAGAACTGAACTAGAACTGAATTTGAACTGAAGTAGAACTGAACTAGAACTGAACTAGAACTGAACTAGAACTGAACTAGAACTGAACTAGAACTGAACTAGAACTGAACTAGAACTGAACTAGAACTGAACTAGAACTAGAACTGAACTAGAACTGAACTAGAACTGAACTAGAACTGAACTAGAACTGAACTAGAACTGAACTAGAACTGAACTAGAACTGAACTAGAACTGAACTAGAACTGAACTAGAACTGAACTAGAACTGAACTAAAACTGAACTAGAACTGAACTAGAACTGAACTAGAACTGAACTAGAACTAAACTAGAACTGAGCTTGAACTGAACTAGAACTGAACTAGAACTGAACTAGAACTGAACTAGAACTGAATTTGAACTGAAGTAGAACTGAACTAGAACTGAACTAGAACTGAACTAGAACTGAACTAGAACTGAACTAGAACTGAACTAGAACTGACCTAGAACTGAACTAGAACTGAACTAGAACTAAACTAGAACTGAGCTTGAACTGAACTAGAACTGAACTAGAACTGAACTAGAACTGAACTAGAACTGAATTTGAACTGAAGTAGAACTGAACTAGAACTGAACTAGAACTGAACTAGAACTGAACTAGAACTGAACTAGAACTGAACTAGAACTGAACTAGAACTGAACTAGAACTGAACTAGAACTGAACTAGAACTGAACTAGAACTGAACTAGAACTGAACTAGAACTGAACTAGAACTGAACTAGAACTAGAACTGAACTAGAACTGAACTAGAACTGAACTAGAACTGAACTAGAACTAAACTAGAACTGACCTAGAACTAAACTAGAACTGAGCTTGAACTGAACTAGAACTGAACTAGAACTGAACTAGAACTGAATTTGAACTGAAGTAGAACTGAACTAGAACTGAACTAGAACTGAACTAGAACTGAACTAGAACTGAACTAGAACTGAACTAGAACTGAACTAGAACTGAACTAGAACTGAACTAGAACTGAACTAGAACTGAACTAGAACTGAACTAGAACTGAACTAGAACTGAACCTAGAACTGACTAGAACTGAACGAGACTAGAACTGAACTAGAACTGAACTAGAACTGAACTAGAACTGAACTAGAACTGAACTAGAACTGAACTAGAACTGAACTAGAACTGAACTAGAACTAGAACTGACTAGAACTGAACTAGAACTGAAACTAGAACTGAACTAGAACTGAACTAGAACTGAACTAGAACTGAACTAGAACTGAACTAGAACTGGACTAGAACTGAACACGAATTAACTAGAATTAACTAGAACCGAATTAGAACTGAACTAGAAATGAAGTAGAACTGAACAAGAACTGAACTAGAACTGAACTAGAACTGAAACTAGAACTGACTAGAACTGTACTAGAACTGAACTAACGGAACTAACGAACTAGAACTGAACTAGAACTGAACTAGAACTGAACTAGAACTGAACTAGAACTGGAGAACTAGAACACTGAACTGAACTAGAACTGAACTAGAACTGACTAGCAAACTGTAACTAGAACTGAACTAGAACTGACTAGAAACTGACTAGAACTGAACTAGAACTGAACTAGAACTGAACTAGACTGAACTAGAACTGAACTTGAACTGAACTGAACTGAACTAGAACGGAACTAGAACTGAACTAGAACTAAACTAGAACTGAACTAGAACTGAACTAGAACTGAACTAGAACTGAACTAGAAACTGAACTAGAACTGAACTAGAACGAAATAGAACTGAAATAGAACTGAACTGGAAACTGAACTAGACTGAACTAGAACTGAACTAGAACTGAACTAGAACTGAAATAGAACTGAAACAGGAATTGAACTAGACTTAACGTAGAACTGAACTAGAACTGAACTAGAACTGAACTAGAACTGAACTAGGGACTGAACTAGAACTAAGCTACAACTGAGCGTGAACTGAAATAGAAGTGAACTAGAACTCTGAACTAGAACTGGACTAGACTGAACTAGAACTGAAATAGAACTTGAACTAGAAACTAAACTGAAACTGAACTAGAACTGAACCAGAACTGAACTGCAACTAGAACAGAAATGGAACTGAACTAGAACTGAACTAGAAGTGAACTAGGCCTGAACTAGAACTGAACTAGAACTGAACTAGAACTGTACTAGAACTGAACTAGAACTGAACTAGAACTGAACTAGAACCGAATTAGAACTAAAATTTTACAGAACTCGAATTCAGAATAAATTTAAAGTTTTCTACTTTTTATTTCAAATTATATTGAAAGCATTATTGCATGTTATTGTTTTAATTATGCAAAACAAAATATAATTTTTTCACTGCTGCTCGTTTATTTTCACAACAACATCAGCCAATTCCATCCCATAATCATAAATATCTATTCTGAAATGCCTTAAATGTAAAATATCTAAAAAATAATCATACACAGTAAATGGTAAACTATTAAAAATTCCTTGTAAGGAACAAAAACGTTAATAGCAACTTTTGTAAATTTGTATAATCTCTCTTGTAAAAAAAACAATAATTCCCTTAAGTATTGTGGAGCAAACAATCAAGTGTAGCTAGCAGTATTACAGAACCCTCATCGCCGGCTATATCGGATACCTGTTCACAAGAGACCCCTAGTTGTGATATGTCCATCAGTCTAACCAGTACCGAGGGCTATAATATGCCTTCGACGGCTGCACAAAGATTGGCCAAATTCTTTCCACGTTTAGATGATGATCTCAATTTGGTTAGTGTTTATGCACCCATCAATTTGGATTGTTTAGAAACGGCCGAAACGGAATTAAGTTGTGGCGGAGCAGTGGGTGGTATAGGAGAAGGTGGTGGTTTCGATGCTAAAAGTGCCTGTTTGACGCCAGTTAGTTTTAATATGGATTTGAGTATTGCGGCCAATAAGGGATCACTAACATTGTCAGTGGATTGTAAGTGTTTTGGTAATAAGTAAACATTTAACACATGTTATGTAATGTTATTTTTTCTTTAATTAGGGTTTTGAGGATGATGATGATGCCCACACACCCTCAGCTGCCACTACTCCCTCATTGCCACGCGATGAGCCCCATTTAGAATTTTGCTATTGCTGTGAAGCTCATAGCAATCAGGGTCAGCCACCAGATGATACACAAAAATCCAACGAACTTTTCAATATAATGAGAAATAAACGTTTAGCGGCCAATGAACGCAAACTGGCAATGTTATTGTCGTATGCTCCTTTAAGTGCTGGCTTACTTAATGCCGAGACTCCTACGGTTAGGCATACGCAAGGCCTCCGAAGCCACCATATCGCCCAGAATTCAAAAACAAATTAGTCTTTCGAAAGTGGTGAACTGGAGAGACAAAAAGAGTACTCAGCTTTACATGCCTCTATAAATATACCACAACCTAGCAGTTTGCAGCTTAAACAAGATGCACGCTTAAGGAAATTCGAAAATCTAACACAATCTACTTCTAACTCGAATTTTCCTTTTGAAAGTAATACTTTGAAGAGAGTGCCCAATAATGTAGAAGATTATGTTGATGTCAATTTAAACACAATCCTGTATAAATCTTAAGTCATCGGGAGTGGCTGCCTCTAATACGTCTTCTACTTGTAGTTCGCCTCAGCATAAAGTGATTTCCGTATTCGTCCAGTTACCCAGTCATGCTCAACAATGCCGCCCGAGGAATGGATACTACAAGTGGCCCAGCTAGCCCTCGGCCGGGAGCTTTAATAGTTAAGGAAAAATTTATAGAACCGCCTAAGCGCATAACACGCAGTTTTCATGGCAAGACACATTCCATGGATTCTGATTTTCTATTTAATGAATTCCTACTAGTGCCAGCCCACTCTATGGCTGCCCAAAATTCTTCAAGCAGTGATACCGGCAGTGCTGCCACTTCGCCATCGGCTCGTTCTAATAAGCGTTTTACCACTACCAAGGTATTGGATGAAGATTTAGAGGATTTAAGTGAAAACTAATAAAATTACAATTAAGTATTTTAAATTTAGTTCAAATAGAAAGTGCGAAAATTTTTGAAAAATTTGTGTGTGTGTGTAGCTTTAAGTTAAAAATTGTGTGGAAAACTAAACAAAAATTAGAAAAATAATAAAGAGAAAATATATATTTTTGCGTGTAAAATGGAAAAAGTGTTTTCTTGTTTTATGCGTTTTGCATTCACAATTTTTCAGGCATTCCATAGCAAACTTGTTTTAAAAATAATTACTTTGTCAGCATGTAAAAGGAATCTTAAAACGTTTATTAATACAAATATATTTGTAAACAAATGTTAATTTTATTACATTATAATCATATATAAATTAAATTTTAGCATAACTCACTTTAAGTTTATTTCAAAATATCTTAAATATCCATACAGCCAGCGCTAAATACTCGTACGTAATCTCTTTATAGACTATAATTCAAAATTATCTTCATAGTTATCCTTAAACTGTAGGATATTTTCCAAAGCTTCGCTATAGTCATCCTCTTCCAAACCGCTAGCCTTAAAACGATGCAATTTAGCAATTTTTATTCTTTTCGCTTCACGATGCAAAGTCTCTAAGGTGTCAGCCAATTCACTGGATGATTGTATGGCTGCTACACAAGGTACCGTATTAACTTTCTCTTCCTTCGAACGTTTTTCATAAGGATTCACAAAACCTGAGGTAGTTAGGTTGTCATCAAACATTTCACATGGATAGGGAATACGTGTGGGCATGGCTGACTGTAGTGAAGTAACATGAGCCATACTATTGTGATTAGAACACTGCAAGTATAATTGGAACATTTGCGATACGGAATCACAGCGATATGCGGCCATGCGCATTTGTTCTTGTGAAGCTTGTTCACGTGGTCGTTTTAAACGATCTGCCGGTATTCCTCTTACACATAGAGATTGTATAATATAATTGGTGCCTATCTTACAATTTGGTGTTAGCTGTGTGAAAAGTGAACCTTCGAATTTATCCAAGCAATCAATAAGATCCATTTTGTATTCCATATTGAAAGGTAAAGAAAAGGCTGCTGCAGCCAATTTGCGACCATAATTGGTGAGATCACCACAAAAGCCGGATAGGGTATTAGTGAGTGGAGCATTTCTGAGACGATAACGCAAGGATATAGTATCCAAATATGAGGCCAATATAGCGGATGTTTGATAGAGATTATCGTGTTGATATTGTAGTGAAGGAAATTCTCGGGGTGAACCCAATTGACGCCATACACGATCCTGTGTACTGAGGGGTATGAAGAGAGAGGACTGCTCGATTAGTTGGTTGACCGTTAAAAGACTGTTGACAACACGTATTGAATCGGACATGGGCTCATCTTGGAGATAGTAAATTTGTAGAGAAAATTTTAAGAAACAAGATTAGAAAGTAACGATGAGTGGAAATATATAACACTGTTGGCTTAAATGTACTTCGTGTAACCGATCTTGATCTGTTTTAGAAATTTGAAATATCCCAGCTAATATAAGATCTAATATATGGGATAGATATTCCCTATATATTGAAATTCAAAACACTAATTTAAATACTGTCAAACTTTTTAACAACTTTCACCAAATTAAAAAACAACAATTTTGTCTTCGAATTCTCGATAAGTTCTTAATTTTTCTATAAATTTTCTATTTTTAAGACAAATTTTGAAAAATAATCTACTTTTTAGGAAATATTCTATAAATTAAAATTTGCTATAAAATATTCTACAAAGCTCAACTTTTTCAATAAATTTTCTATTTTCAAATTTTGGGGAATTTTATTCCGATACATTTTTATACCACAATTCTATTTTTTTTATTAAAATCGTCAATAAAATTTTGAAACGTTTTTTTTTACGACAAAATTTTTTCTGATATTTCCTCAAACATCAATTCCTTGTTAAAACTTCTACCATCATAACTTTACCTTATTATCTAAAAACTCACCTGCATTTTCATACAAAGCATTCTTGGGCGAATAAACCGGCACCGCCATATTCGCCTTACCATATTCATCATTCAAATATTCCAAACATTTGCTGGCCAAACCAGAAAACCCATTAAAAGAATCAAATATCGTTTGAAAACCTTGCAAGAAGTCACACTCCTCCACATACTGACGTATTCGATCACAAAATTCATCCTCAAACTCTTCCGTTTGCCAGAGTTCACAGCCGCGTGAAAAAGTGTCCAAAGTTTGCTTTTCGCTGTCATGACGATATTGTTTAACAATATTCACCGTACGAGGATGATAACGGGCATAGAGAAAATCAGCCCAAGTATCAACATTTTCCGCTAAATTATATTCTTTTTCTTCTATGCTTACTTCCGGCTTATCGAGATCAGCTTGAAACTCATGCTTAGAAGTTTCGGGTTGGGCTACCACCTCCAGTTCACTGGGTTGCCAAAATAAATCTTCTTTAAGTTTTTTGACAGCCTCATGTTCGGCCACATTTTCAGCATTAGCAAGATCATCCATACCGCCTCTTTTTAAACTGTTGCCATATAGTTCACCCTCACGTGGTAAATGTTTAAGGGATCCTTCCAAATCCACCAACAGCAAACGGGGAGTGTAGGTGGTTTGTTTCTATTTAAAAAAAAAAAATCACTTTTTTTAATGCTATTTTATGGATGGAAAACCAACTTACATTATGATTTACTCCTTGTCTGTACATACATCATGGCATATTTCTCCTGGTTTCCAGATGGTCATAACTAAATCCTGATTCCTTGGAATTTGTAAAGAACTCTGTTTATATTTCTTAAAATTGCAATGTTTTACTTACTTGTATATTCCACCAGTGGGCTCCTATATAATTGGCATAATTACCAAATTGTAAAGTTAATATTTCACGTATATTGGACATATTTTATTAAAAGAAAATATTTTTACAGAGATCACAATGAAATAAATCCAATTTTTAAATGCGATGTTAATAAAAAGTACTGCCAAGTTTTAGCTAGCAAAATGATAACAAACACAGCTGTTGATGTGCAAAAGGTCAAATTCGCCTTAGTTTTTATTTAAATTTTATTACTTAAGATTTTACAATAATTAGTTTTAAACAATTAACTATTTAACATTTTAAATAAATAAATAGGACATTAATATGATACAATTTATACAAGAAAATGTTTGAAAGTCAAATTATTTTGAAATGATTTCGCCTTAAACAAAATGTAAACAAATACCAGCTGTTTATGTTTTGCCGGTATTGCACGTTTTCGTTTTGTTTACCTTTTGGTATTAAAAAAGAAAAATCATTGTTTAACTGCAATTTCCTCATTTAACATTTGCGAAACAAAACAATTCCATATCACCGCTATTAGTTGCACAAATACCACTTGATATTTTAAAGGCACAATACTGAAATTAAGCATTTGTATAGCTGGCCAAATATATAGTTTTCCTTCATTATAGCAGGATATTGTACTTTTATACGTTCCTTTATGGTATCACTACTTTCCTCATTTATCACTCCCACTAACCCGGTAATGGCTAAATTTAAAGCTGGAGCCATAATAGCTTGATCTATCAACATTTTCTTTGTACTGCGCAGTAAACGATTTTGTTTTGATGTTATGGCACGATCCAACAGACCAAACCAGTATTTTAGTACTGGTCCGACGAAAACAAAACCCAAGGAGCTGTATTTTAAGGTACGTACATAATCAAGGTTATTCACATCCTTTTTCTCCACCACAGTTTGAGCTAAAACATCTCCGGCAGCCATTATTCCAGCAGCTCGACAACATTCCGGAAAATAGGTTGTTAGACGGGTTGTAACTTTAGCAAACATCATAACAGCAATATGAGAGACTTTTAAAACATGGATATTTTATTTAAATAACCAATTTTGGAAGGGATTAGGTATAAATGAATTTAACCCGAGTTAGTTTAGTAAAAATTATAGAATTTATTACATAAATAGGTATTTACAATGTTAGATGTTAAAACTATTAAAAAACGCCCTATAAATTGTACAATTTTTGTTGCAAAAGATATGAAAAAATGTAAACAAAAGCCAGCTGTTCAATTACCCTTAAATTTGTTATCAATAAAAGTACTCTATAAACTTTTCTTTCTTAATCTAAAGAAAATCACTGTTTCACTGCATTTTTATCATTCAATAACTGAGAAACAAAACAATTCCATACTATACCCGCCACCAGTTGCACAAATACCACTTGATATTAAAGGGCACAATGCTGAAGTTTATCATTTGCACTGCCGGCCATAACATAAATATTATTTTTCATAATATCAGGATACTGAACTCGTATACGTTCCTTAATAGTATCACCACTCTCTTCATTTATTAGACCCACCAATGCTGTTATGGATAAATTTAAAGCCGGAGCCATTACAGCCTGATCTACCAACATTTTCTTGACCGTACGTTGTAAACGATTCTGTTGAGTGGTTATGCTGCGATCCAACAAAGCATACCAGTATTTTAGCACAGGTCCCACAAATAACAAACCCAAGGAACCATATTTAATGGTGCGCACGTAATCAATGTCCTTGAAATCCTTTTTTTCCACTAAAGTTTGTGCTAAAACATCTCCGGTAGCCATTATGCCGGCTGCACGGGAACCTTCCGCCAAATAGGGTGTTATACGGGAGGTTGCTCTGGAAAACATATTGATGGCAAGAGAGGAATCGTTTTTTTTAAGTTGGAATATTTACAAAAATAAAACTAATTTGATATTTGTTGTGAAATCTAATGTAGTGTAAATATTGAAGGTGCTGCCAAGTTTTACAAAATGAATTTGCTGCAGATTTGTGTTTGTGATATTGCCAGACTAGAAATAACTTTTAAAGGTTGAAATGGAAACAACGTTACATTTTTATAAATTTAAAATATAAAATAAAATTGAAACTTTTTTTACTGCATTATGAATGCCAAGAATGCAACAGATGTAGTTTAAAATTGCCCAAATTTAAAAAATGAAGAACCACTGAACATCGGTGGGAAGAACCATGAATGACAAGAACGAAAATTTTTCTATTTGTCATTTCAGTATTGATATTTACAACATTTTTAAATGTTAAATTTTATTAACTATTTGTGAAAAAAATAATTTAAATTCAAATTTCTTGTATGTCTTAAAAATAAAAGAAAAATTACAAAAAAAATTGCAAAATTATGAGTGTATTTTCCTCGGGTCCACTTAAATCAACAATACGTACGATTTTTCATTATGTAGCTAGCAGTTGTCGTCTTGCTTTGTTTATGGGAGCCGGAGATGTTCTTATGCAAAATTATAATAATTCTAATAAAGAAATTAAACAAATAAATTGGCAGCGTTCAGCAAAATTTGCTACAATTGGATTGTGTTTTATGGGTCCAATTTTAACATATTGGAAAAATATCGTGGGTTCTCTTGTCAGTGTCCACAACAGTCATACCAGCCGCATTTTGAAGCAACTTCTTTGTGATCAAATTTATTTAGCGCCTTGCATAAATTTGGGTATTATCACTGCAAAAGGCGTTTTGGCAAATGAGTCCATAGAGGAAATTGAAAAAAGTATAAGTGTAAATTTTCCCTTTATAATTAAACGTCATTATATTTGTGGCCTGCTGTCCAGTTCTTTGGTAGTCTTTGTGATACAACCGTCTTTGCAGATTGGTTTTTGCTAATTGTATAGCTGTTCTATGGTATTCCTATTTATCGGGTATTTTACATGAAGATGAAGTATTACTAAAGCCACATGATAATTTGAAAAAATTGGTGGTAGAATGAAAATTATTTAAAATTTTCGAAAATTTATTTGTTATCATAATAATAAACATCAAAATTAAAAGATATTTTTTCAAATTTATTTAGAAATACAAAATTTTATAAAATAGGCCTGTCAATATTAATAAGGCAAAATTATTTATTCCCTATATCCTGAAAAGCTTGAATAGCGGCTTCACAATGTGTGCTGCTGATATCTTTGCCCAGACTTGTGTGGAGATCAAGATTGGAGCCAATTTCATAAAAAACGTACCATAAAATTTACCTTAATAGGGCTATTCTTTACCGGTTCCTTATTGGGTCATTGGTCGACAATAATGCGGAAATCTTTAGTGAAAATACAACAACTATTTCCAAATCCGTACAAAAAAAACTTTAAATACACAAATATTTTTGGCTCCAGCTTTAAATTTTGGCACTATTACTTTATCTCGCATTGTAAATGGATATCCGATATCAGGAGATAATTTGAGATATATATTACATGAAGATTTTCTCAATTTAATGGAAAAGAATTATTTGGTATGGTTTCCAGTGCAAATTTATAATTTGTTTAATCCAATCCATCAATGTTGAAATTTTTGTTATTAATATTGTTTCAATTTTTGGTTTGCATATTTGTCCTCCGTTTTAATGTTTAAAAATGAGAATAAAAAAAGAAACTTAAATTAATTAAATTAAAATTACTCAATTTCTAACCATTTGTAGAATATTTTCTATTATTCACCCTGCGAGTTGACAGCACTTAGTTTGTTTTAGCAGTGTTATCATTTCTTAGTACAGCAGTAACATAAATAAGAAGCATCCACCAACATACTTGTAAATTTAGGCGCTTTTAAAACAACCTACAAATAATGTTTTTTAATAATTTGTTAAAACAACTAATAATTATAATAAATAACTCTCAATTAAATTAATTTTCACATTGTCTAACTTTTGGAAGAAAAATAAAAATTTTAAACAGAAATTTTATATTTTCAAGTCAAAATCGTGCGCTGCATTTTCAAGCGATTTTCTATAAATTCAACAACGCACTTCGTATATTAACAGTTGACAATCATTGCTGCAAAACGTGCATTTGGAATTTTAGAATTTTTGAGCAAAATAGTAAAAATCTAGAGAAATATTTTAAAATATACGATGGCCACCAAACGACAAATTAAACAGTTCCATGAAATGGAATTAGATGATCGATACTTAAGGTAATAATAGAATAAATATAAGAATTAAAGTGTGTAATGTATTTGCAATGTTTTTTTAAAAGGCCATCTCAAAATTAGGCTGGACAGAACCCACTTTGATACAAGAAGCCGCTATACCTTTGGCTACTAGAAGGTAAAGATGTCATTGTTAAGGCCAGAACGGTTCAGGAAAAACGGCGGGCTTTTGCTTTGCCCTTAATACAAAAAATTCTCATTCCAAAATGAATGCCGACGAACAGTGTACCAGTGCTATGGTGTTGGCACCCAGCAAAGAACTTTGCCAACAAACACGCAATGCCATGGAACAAATGAGTGAAAAAATGTGGTAAAGTATTGCGCATAGTAGATCTTTCCTCTAGTGATGTGGTGGCCCAAAGGCATCTGTTGTCCGAAAGACCTGATGTTATTATCACTACCACCCCCGCTAAAGTCCTGTCACATTTACAATCTGGAGCCATGGATTTGAAAACGTTTAGAGACTTTGGTAGTCGATGAAGCAGATTTGGTATTTTCATTTGGTTTTGAAAAGGATTTCAAGAAATTGGTCGAATATTTGCCAGCCATTTATCAGGCTGTTTTGGTGTCGGCCACCATTACCGATGATGTGATGAATATGAAGAGTGTTATTTTAAATAATCCGGTTATATTGAAATTGGAAGAACCTGAATTGGTACCAGAAAGTCAACTATCGCATCAGCGTATTTTAGCCGAGGAGAATGATAAACCGGCCATTTTGTATGCTTTGTTAAAGTTGCGTTTGATACGTGGTAAAAATGTGATTTTTGTCAATACTGTGGATCGTTGTTATAAGTAAGTATATGGTAAATGGTAAATATTGACACATTTAAAGGCATCTGAGTTTTAGTTGAAATTTTTGTTAAGTCTTTGATAAGCTACCAATTTGAGGAAACCAATTCGAGAATTTTAAAGTTATCAATTAATTTTCTCTCTGTAGCAAATTTTCCATAAATTTGATATTTTTCGAAAATGTTAACTTTTAACAAATTTTCGTTAAATTTTCTCTTTATATAGACAATGTTCGATATTTTTTTTCTTATATAGAAAATTTTCGATAAATTTCCAGTACATTATTTTTCAAAATCTTAAATTTTAATTTAAAAACTATGTTGCCTTCATGATGTGCATCCTGGTTGCCTTTTTATTTTTAAAATGATGAAGAACTAGTTATCGCTATACAAAGAAGAGGCATCTGTCCAACAGTTGGCCTCTAAATGATTTACATTTCTAATCTTCTCTCTGATTTTAACTTTTATATACAATCCGTAGATTTGAAATTAAAAATTTCTAATTCTTAAATTTATCATTCTTTCCTTACAGATTGAAATTGTTCCTTGAACAGTTTAGCATAAAATCCTGTGTCTTGAACTCTGAATTGCCAGCAAAAATTCGCATCCATACTATTAATCAATTTAATCAGGGTATTTATGATTTCATCATTGCTTCCGATGAGCATATGTTGGAAAATCCAGGTCGCAATAAATCAGATCGTGAATCTGGTGCCTCCAGAGGCATAGATTTTCATTGTGTATCGAATGTTATAAATTTCGATTTTCCACAAGGCGTCAGTTCGTATATACATCGTGCTGGTCGTACAGCTAGAGGTAATAACAAGGGTACCGTATTATCCTTTGTTAGTATCAAGGATGCCAAAATCAATGATGCGGTAGAAGAACGTCTTAAGGAGGGTTATATGAGTGATGAACAAGTTATTAAGTCAGTTTTTCTGGATTTGTATAGGTTTGTAACATTACTAATGTTGTATATATTTTCAGAAACTATCAATTCAAAATGGAAGAAGTTGAACCCTTCCGTTATCGTGCCCGTGATGCCTGGCGTGCTGTCACTCGTATTGCTGTCCATGAGGCTCGAGTGAAAGAAATCAAAATAGAAATTTTCAATAGTGAAAAACTTAAGGGCTTCTTTAATGAAAATACTCGTGATTTGCAAGTTTTACGTCATGACAAACCTTTAAAGACGGTGAAAGTGCAACCACATTTATCACAAGTTCCCGAGTATATAGTACCCAAAGCCTTAAAACGTATAGCTACCACAACGACTTCATCAAGTTCAAACAAGACACCACGTTATTTCCAATCCTCAGCCAAGGCCGCCTATGAAAGTCAAGCTAGTAATCCTTTGTTGGTTAGTGAAGTAGATTTTGGCAAAAAATCGGGAGGCAGAGGTGGAAAACGTCACAAGAAGAAGTAAAATGTTAATGTTAAGAGGAATTTTATAATTACTATGTACATTTTAAGTAGCTTGTTTGTAGTTTTAATAAGTTAAGTTTTCTTTGTGTATAAAAATAAAAGTGGATTTATACATATGTATGTATTACGTTTTATATATTTTGGATTATGTGTGATCCCGATGATCATATTGAAATGAGTTATTAAAGAATAAGGTCTCGAAATTAGATAAAAACGATTAAACGCGTCCTTACGGAATAGGTTAAATCTGTGGGGGAGGTACTATCTCTCTATTAGTTCCATTGCAAAATTTTGAATATTAGTTGTACAATTATTTACTGTTTCCAAGTTTTTCTTTCTTTGTACAATTTTTATTATATTTTCTTTTTATTTCATTTTACTCCCCATCAATTGATGGAATATTTTGTTGTGTGATCACATTTTTATATATTTTTTTTTTCAATTTTTAATTTATTTCATAAATATATTTTTTATTGATATATATCACTTAAATACAAAGTTATTTTTGCATATATACACATATATACTTAATAATGTTTAGATTTTTTGTTGTTTTCAAAATTTTTAGTTTTAAAAAGATAAATTTTTAACGATGTTTTCCTTTTTATTTTTGTACGATAGGTTTTTAATCCAAAATATATTAAGATATGTGGTTAAAAAAAAATAAAGAGATAAACCAAGCAAATACAAAAAAATCGAATAGAAAAGGAATTAAGTTTAAGAAAAAACTAAAGTTCAAAGTAAATGGAATTATTTTCTGAAAAGAATGCAAAATAAATTTTAATTTACTTTAAACTTAACGTATTTTAGGCCAATGCTTTTGAAAACCTTGGATGAAAGTTAAAAAAAACAGTTTTTTCTAATATTCGATAAATACTAATTAGTTGAATAAATACTTGAGACGAAAATCTACAACTTTCAATTGTTATACATCAATTAAAAAAAAAAATTAAATACAGTTTTTATTAATTAATAATTTAAAAAATTAATTATAATTATAGAATCAACGTTTTCCTTAAAAAAAACTGAGACAAATTAATAGGAAACTTATTTGAATTTAATTATATAATAAACAATTAAAATTAAGTATAACTTGCTCTCCAGTAGCTAGATAATTTAAAATTTTATTTAAATTAAAGTGGTTCGGAAATGACGAAAATTTATTCTTCTAATTTGGAAGAAATTTTCTGTTTTAATACAAATTTAAATGCAAAAAATTCTTTGTTAATAAACAATAACAAAGAATTTTGAGATGAATAATTAAAATTGTATAATTACAATTGAAAATGTTGTCTTAAAAAAGTTTTCGAAAAATTATTAGCTTAAACAAATAGTGAAAACAATGAAATCAAGTAAAAAGGGGAAAGAAGGAATATAGATGATTGGACTAAAACTAAGGACGACCTAAATAGACAAAGAAGACAAGCAAATAAAATTCAAAATACTTAAAAAATATAAATATAAAAAAATATATACTAATACAAAAAAAATATGGGAGGGATTTTTGTTTTAAGGAATGATTATGATAGGGGGACGTATGTATTTTAAAAAATGACTCGATTAATGAGAACAAACATTAGACTTAACCCAATTTAAGTTTTCTGGGTTCTGTTGAATGATGATTATTTGTTGTTGGTGGTGGTGGTCTCATGGGCACCGGTGCTATCGACACATTTACAGGTAACTTTTGTAAAAAAGGCGGGACTTAGTATGGGCTCATGTTGGCGATTCTTTTGGCGGGTATCGTCTTCATCGTCTGAGATCAGTGAAATGCTTAAATCGCTGGATAATTTCAGAGATATGGGAGCCTGAGGCGGCGAAACCACCGGAGGTTGTTGCACCATACCCTTACGTCTTTGTGGTGATATTTTCTGCTGGCCATCAGCGAACTCGGGTATACCGCAAGAAGCTAAACCTTCTCGAAGTTTGGTGAGAGACAGTTCATAAATACGATTGGCTATCACGGTATGAACTGTTGTCTCATCGGGTAGCATGGGAAATACTTCCTGTTGTTGTTGTTGATGTTCTGCTAAAGAATGGGAAGTATTTAGCGATGAACGACTGGCACAGGTGGTGGCGTTGAGAGAGCGTGGTACCAGTGAAATGGTTACCTCTTCATCGACTTGCATAGTATTTGTTGTGGCAGGCAGGGTATTTGAGAGGAGGTAGGACATGTCACAGATATTTCCGGCGGTTGTAGTAAAGACATAGACAATGAAGGTAGTGCTGGTGGTAGTCCTGGCATGGTGAAGGGTACATCATTGCTATCATCACTCAATACTATAGACTCATGATTGAGTAGTATGGGAGCTTTGGGAGGATTTGGTACAGAACGTCGCTTTTGAGGTCTGGATTTACGTTTGCGAGGTTGTGGCGCTGGTGGATTTTGTGGCATTGGCATCAGCAGGTAAGGTTGCTGTAAATATTCTTGTTGTTGCTGCGGCTGGTTTACAATTAACTGAGGCTGTATGTGTAATTGTGGTGGCTGCCGTTTATTGTTTAATATCGGCACTAAGGGCGGTGGGTTGAGGACCCTCTCCACCGGCATTAAACCCAATATTGCCGCTCTTTCTAAACACATGCGGCCGGGGTAAACAATCACAGATTGTTCTGCTGTTTTGCTATTTGCCCCCTGCTCTTCCTCATCCGATAAAAGATCAATGGTCACATTGGCCTGTAAACTATTCAATTTTTTCTACGCACCTCAGTCTTGTGGCCGGGGGTTTTTTGTGTAGGTGTCGGCCGATTGTTTCTATAGAAATTTCGTAAATACTCCCATATTTAGAACGTTTTAATTTTAAACGTTTATTGTGGCATAAAGTATGGGCTGAGATGTGAAAGGGATTGGAATGTTTGATAACTACAGAATTGTTGTGAAGCGGCTTTTGATGGTTGTGCAGCTGATGCTGCTGCGGCTGTTGAGTATGTTGTTTTTCTGGAACCTTGGGTGCCATGTCAATGTGTTTTGCTTTCAAACAATTAATAAAAGTCACAAATTATACTTTAACGTTAGTCATGTCGGTTGTTTTTACTAAACGCCTTTTTCATTTTAAACACAAACACTTTTATTTTTTTTTTGTTTTCACGTTTGTTTGTTTTTTATTGTGTAGTTTCTTTTATTTATCAAATTTCACAACTTGGGGTGCTGCTATTGCTGCTCCTTTGACTTATTTTCTCTTAATTGCAACCACCAAAGTACAGTTTTGTTTGTTTTTATTTTTTCATTGCATTTACACTTGCATAATGTTATTTTTTCATATAATTTACACTTTTCTTTTACTTATTATTTATTTATTACCATTAAAAGTTTACAATTGTATATTATTTATCAACAATTATTAATTTTAGTCAGAATTTCAGAGATTTTCCTAAAAATTATGCACTTTCTTGTTACATCTGCTTTGCACTTTCTTCTTCAGTGTTTTGTTATGAAAAATATACAATGTGAAAAGATAACGAGTAGTGGTTTAGAGTAGCCGTTATTCGAAGAGTAAGTAGTCGTTAAATAACCGTACAGATAAACAGTATTGCCATTTAGTATTAGTTAGCACGAGAGAAAATGTTTCTATCTGGTAATATTTTACTTTAATTGCTTACGTTGGGTATTTAAAATTTTTAATTTATTTAAATCTTTAAAATACAGTTAATTTCGATAAATTCTCTATTTTCATAAAGTGTTTGATAAATTTTATATTTTATAGAAAATGTTTGATAAATTAATAGAAAATAAATTTTTTATTTTAAAGAAAATTTTCTTTAAATTTTCTATTTTAAAGATAATATTCAATAAATTTTCAAAAAATTTCGAAAATTTTTATATGTTATAGAAAATTTTCGATACATTTTTTATGTTATAGTAAATTTTAGATAAATTTTCTATTTGTATCTGAGTTTCTAAAAAAGTACTTACGAAATGTACTACTTTTTGATATTTTGAATAAATGTTTGTTAAATTTTTAACAGAAATTGTTTAAAAACAGTTTTAGATATTGATTTTTGGTAAATTTGTATTAACTTAAAAAAGTAGTAAATCAAGTACTAAAAATAATTTTCATTATTTTCACAAATTTCTTTTTATACATTTTTAATACAAAATTTAAAAAATTTTTGTTATAGGAAGCTTTTTAAAAAAGTATTAAATCTACTACTATTTGAAAAAAATGAGAAATGCTTAGCAAAAATTCATTATAATTAGTTTTAAGAGTTTCTGGTAAATTTTTAACACACAAATTATAAAACATAAGCTTTTTGGAGTTTTAAAACTGTATTAAATCTACTACTAAAATTATAAACAATGTTTGAAATTTATGTTTTTTAAAAAAAGATTTTAAAAAAGTAGTAAATCGACTACTCTTGGAAACTTTGATAAATACCAAAAAATTTTGAAATTTTGTGCTGTTTACTGATTTTTAGTAAACTAAAATAAGTACTAAATCTACTACAAAAGGTAGTTTTAACTTTTCCTTAAATTTTTGATAAATTTTAATACAAAAATTATAAAATTTATGTTTATAGGAGTTTTTTAAAAAAAGTACTAAATCTATTACTAAAATTTATTTTCCCTTTTTCCACAATATTATGAGTTTTTTAAAAGTTATAATAAAAAGTATTTAAAAGTATATATTTTTAAGAGATTTAAAAAGGTAGTAAATCTACTACATGTTAAAATTTTGACTAAATTTTAAATATTTATAAAACTGCTAATAAAAGTTACTAAAAGAATACCAAAAAATTTTGAAATTTTTAATAAAAATTCATTAAAACTGTGCTGATTACTGATTTTTAGTAAACTAAAAAAAGTACTAAATCTACTACAAAAGGCAGTTTTAACTTTTCCTTAAATTTTTGATAAATTTTTAATACAAAAATTATAAAATTTATGTTTATTGGAGTTTTTTTTTTAAAGTAGTAAATCTACTACTAAAATTTATTTTCCCCTTTTTCCACAATATTATGAGTTTTTTAAAAGTTATAATAAGACCTGGTTCACACTGGAAAACTTTTGTTGAGAAACTTTTGATTTTGTGTGTGAGAGAAAGTGATCGTTGATATTTGTTTCTCATTCTCTCTCACACACAAAATCAAAAGTTTCCCAAAAAAAGTTTTCCATTGTGAACCAGGTCTAAAAAGTATTTAAAAGTATATATTTTTAAGAGATTTAAAAAGGTAGTAAATCTACTACATATTAAAATTTTTTACTACATTTTCAATATTTATAAAACTGCTAATAAAAGTTATTAAAAGAATTAATTCTTATTTATTTTTTTATACAATTTAAAAAAAGTACTAAATCTACTACCAAAAATAATGTTTATTTTAAATGTTTCGAAGTCACATAGCAATGGAATGATAAATTATGTTATTTTGTGAATGTCTAGAAAAAAACAAATATTTTTTTTTTTGTTGATAAATTATATAATAAATCTTAATTATTCAAAAATGTTTTTACAAGTCTTTCCCTCTATTATTTCGTTATTTGAATAAGAAAATAACCTTGAATAGAAAATTGGTCTGGTGTCAAGGTCATTGTTGTTAATACAATGTATAAATATGTTTGTATTCTTTCGCAATAAATGTTAAATGTATTTTTTTGCAATAAATGGCCAGACATTTAAGTTAAAAATCAGTTATAGAGGACATATAACAGAAAAAAGGCATTAAATACAAAAGTCAACCATTTGGCATTAAAGTAACCAACCAGTCATTGTAAATTTGACTTTGAAACAGGGTGTTTTTTTACATTCAATATGACTGCACAAATTTTTAAATACGAGGGTTGTCTGAAAGTTTTACTATATATTAATAAAACATATTTTTACAAATCTATTAAATTGCGAGTTACTCTTATTAGCTACCGAAAATTGTATACCCGCATGGATATAATATCTTGGGGATTCTTTCCATATCGCTCAGAAAACATAACGCTAAGTTTAGTTAGAAAATATCGATCTACCAAATGCTACTAAACTCCCACGACAAATCAAATATAATAGAATTTATATTCTCCAGATGTCTGGTGGCTCTTATATGAGAGATAAAGTGTCCAAAGAGAGTAGTGTACAGATTCCCACAAACTCAAATGAAAACTTAAAGAATGCTGGACTATTAGCTAATCTTTTCAGCATTCTTATCATACCGACAAAGATAGGAAGATTGCTAATGTAACACCAATTCCTAAAAAAGGGTGAGTCTAGTAATCATATAATCCGAATAGATAATTGTTCCGCACTTTTAAAAGTTATGGAAAGTATGCCTAACTTCCATCTTGTTAAATATTTAGAAAACAACAATTTAATTAACGACCGACAGAGATCGCTCTATGGGAGACCTGCATGCCTTTTTTCGGAGAAATAATGACATTCCATTCATCTTTCTGATGAGAGCAATGTGTTGGCTCTAGATATTTCCAAGTCGTTTGATAGTATGGTATTTCGAACCTCAATCAAGTTTAATTGCATTTGGTGTCGGTAATAATTTCACTCGATTTATTTCGAGTTTTAACAGATCTCTGTTCAGAGTACAAGATTAATTCAATTCAATTCAATTCTCAATTTCTTATTTTCATAAACGACTTTCTGAGCCAAGTCTATTTACTCTTTTGCCGATGAGAGCAATATTTGTCATTCTAATTTATTCAATTATAGACTTTTAGATGTTAGAGCCCGCAAAACTCAATGTTGTTTTTTAAAGCACACGCTTCTGACAGATAATGTTGTTTACATTTTTCAAGTGTCAGAAGAAATATTAAAATTTCTCGTTTTTTTGATACTTCACTACTATCTGGCCCGCAAAATATAGAATTAAAACGACCGCATCCGATTAAGATGGAGAAACACAACCGATCTTATCCGATTCAAGGAGGATGCAGTATTAACATGAAAGCAACTTCGAACACCTGATTTTTCGTTCTACAATTGTTGGTTGTTAGTTCATAGAAAAATAAAGATAAAAAAATTTCTGATAAATCCTTTAATTTAAATGATTCCTTATTTGCTATAAAATAATCCTTTATCAAATTCTCAGTGACAATTATTAAATTTTACTATCTACCCTCATAAAATGTAATAACTCAAAAAATCTTTCAATAGTTCGTTGTACGATCTATGACCTTAGGAAATGATAGAAAAATTATCATTATCACACAACCACTACTGGTATTAGCAAAAAAAAGACAGTAGTAGAAATAGTAAAACCCACATCCAAAAGATACACAACGTATATAAAGGAAACGTGTTAAGTTTGTATAAATAACTAAAATCTAGTATATACATATACTCACTAACACAAACTTATATGTTATGTATATACCATAACTTTTATTTAATTTATTCCAATCCAGTTAAAGTAATTCAAAGATTTTTCTAATACATAATATACTTTTAGGAGTCTTATTTGCTAGAAAAAATACCAAAGGAATAAACAACAACAGACATACACTCGTACACATACAACTAGGTAAATGATGAAGAGCAGTATTAGTTAAAAGGGAGAGAAGAATAATGGCAGAAGAAATATGGCTAGAAGTCATGCTCATAAAATATATTCCGTCTGTTCTACACACTAACAAATGTTTAAGAAAATCTACTAACAACAACTAAAACAACAGTAAACAGTAGTACTGCTACTCATTTATTTGTAGGTAAAAGTAAAAAAAAAAAAACAAAAATCCCACCACATCTAAAAACAACAACAACATAAACACACTTCCCTACTTTACAAAACAAAGAGTTTGTTTGTATTTGTTGCCCTTTTTGTTTCCTTTTGTTTTCATTCTCTTTATGTGTGTTTGTAAGTATGTGTGTCTCTTATATTTGGCACCACCCACAAAAATGTTTGTGAGTCCTTGTGTTTACATACACACACACACATAGTATATACTTCTGCTAAGGATTTGATGAGAAACTAGAAAATCACAAGAGTAAAAGTAGACTTTGTTGTCCAGGGGCAAGAAATTGAAATGTTAAACAAGTTAGTTGAAATTGTTAACAATAAATATACATACATAGAAGCTCACGTTACCGGCTACCGGTTAAATTTTTACTAAAATATTTCTCATGGAACTAGAGAGCATAAGAGAGATTGATAAAAGGAAATATTGAGCTCATACTCATAATTGAGTGAGTGAGAGTGGGTAGTGAAAAAAGCTTTTATTCGAGTTGAGGTTGTAAGTTTTGCAGGAAAGTGGAATATATTTCTGATGTTGTATTTGGGTAAAAAGGATTTATGTGCTTCAACATTAGTTTAGTTGTGTTAGGTTGTTGTTAACTGTAAGGTGTAATAGATTCAAGCTTTGCTGTTTTTTTATTAGATAATGTCCTGGCTAAAAGCGTAACTGAAGCATGTTTAAGTTATAATAATAAAAATCATTTAAATCAGAATTTTTTATAATGAAGAAAATAATCTATTAAATGGGACAGGGATTAAAAAGTT